AAGTCTGATAATATCAACAAGCTTGTTACAAGCTGTTAAACAACTTGTATACAATATTGTTATATCATGACTGTATCGGACTTGTTGAAACAACCTTGCTACAAGTCTGATAATATCAACAAGCTTGTTACAAGCTGTTAAACAACTTGTATACAATATTGTTATATCATGATTGTATCAGACTTGTTGGAACAACCTTGCTACAAGTCTGATAATATCAACAAGCTTGTTACAAGCTGTTAACAACTTGTATACAATATTGTTATAGCATGACTGTATCAGACTTGTTCAAACAACCTTGCTACAAGTCTGATAATATCAACAAGCTTGTTACAAGCTGTTAAACAACTTGTATACAATATTGTTATATCATGATTGTATCAGACTTGTTGGAACAACCTTGCTACAAGTCTGATAATATCAACAAGCTTGTTACAAGCTGTTAAACAACTTGTATACAATATTGTTATATCATGACTGTATCAGACTTGTTGAAACAACCTTGCTACAAGTCTGATAATATCAACAAGCTTGTTACAAGCTGTTAAACAACTTGTATACAATATTGTTATATCATGATTGTATCAGACTTGTTGGAACAACCTTGCTACAAGTCTGATAATATCAACAAGCTTGTTACAAGCTGTTAAAACAACTTGTACAATATTGTTATATCATGACTGTATCGGACTTGTTGGAACAACCTTGCTACAAGTCTGATAATATCAACAAGCTTGTTACAAGCTGTTTAAACAACTTGTATACAATATTGTTATATCATGATTGTATCAGACTTGTTGGAACAACCTTGCTACAAGTCTGATAATATCAACAAGCTTGTTACAAGCTGTTAAACAACTTGTATACAATATTGTTATATCATGATTGTATCAGACTTGTTGGAACAACCTTGCTATAAGTCTGATAATATCAACAAGCTTGTTACAGGCTATTAAACAACTTGTATACAATATTGTTATATCATGATTGTATCAGACTTGTTGGAACAACCTTGCTACAAGTCTGATAATATCAACAAGCTTGTTACAAGCTGTTAAACAACTTGTATACAATATTGTTATATCATGACTGTATCGGACTTGTTGGAACAACCTTGCTACAAGTCTGATAATATCAACAAGCTTGTTACAAGCTGTTGAACAACTCGTATACAATATTGTTATATCATGATTGTATCAGACTTGTTGGAACAACCTTGCTACAAGTCTGATAATATCAACAAGCTTGTTACAAGCTGTTAAACAACTTGTATACAATATTGTTATATCATGATTGTATCAGACTTGTTGGAACAACCTTGCTACAAGTCTGATAATATCAACAAGCTTGTTACAAGCTGTTAACAACTTGTATACAATATTGTTATATCATGATTGTATCAGACTTGTTGGAACAACCTTGCTACAAGTCTGATAATATCAACAAGCTTGTTACAAGCTGTTAAACAACTTGTATACAATATTGTTATATCATGATTGTATCAGACTTGTTGGAACAACCTTGCTACAAGTCTGATAATATCAACAAGCTTGTTACAAGCTGTTAAACAACTTGTATACAATATTGTTGTATCATGATTGTATCAGACTTGTTGGAACAACCTTGCTACAAGTCTGATAATATCAACAAGCTTGTTACGAGCTGTTAACAACATATATACAATATTGTTATATCATGACTGTATCGGACTTGTTCGAACAACCTTGCTACAAGTCTGATAATATCAACAAGCTTGTTACAAGCTGTTAAACAACTTGTACAATATTGTTATATCATGACTGTATCGGACTTGTTGGAACAACCTTGCTACAAGTCTGATAATATCAACAAGCTTGTTACAAGCTGTTAAAACAACTTGTACAATATTGTTGTATCATGACTGTATCGGACTTGTTGGAACAACCTTGCTACAAGTCTGATAATATCAACAAGCTTGTTACAAGCTGTTAACAACATATATACAATATTGTTATATCATGACTGTATCGGACTTGTTGGAACAACCTTGCTACAAGTCTGATAATATCAACAAGCTTGTTACAAGCTGTTAACAACTTGTATACAATATTGTTATAGCATGACTGTATCAGACTTGTTCAAACAACCTTGCTACAAGTCTGATAATATCAACAAGCTTGTTACAAGCTGTTAAACAACTTGTACAATGTTGTTATATCATGACTGTATCGGACTTGTTGGAACAACCTTGCTACAAGTCTGATAATATCAACAAGCTTGTTACAAGCTGTTAAACAACTTGTATAGAATTTTGTTATATCATGATTGTATCAGACTTGTTGGAACAACCTTGCTACAAGTCTGATAATATCAACAAGCTTGTTACAAGCTGTTAAACAACTTGTATAGAATTTTGTTATATCATGCTTGTATCAGACTTGTTGGAACAACCTTGCTACAAGTCTGATAATATCAACAAGCTTGTTACAAGCTGTTAAACAACTTCTATACAATATTTTGTTATATCATGACTGTATCGGACTTGTTGGAACAACCTTGCTACAAGTCTGATAATATCAACAAGCTTGTTACAAGCTGTTAAACAACTTCTACAATATTGTTATATCATGACTGTATCGGACTTGTTGGAACAACCTTGCTACAAGTCTGATAATATCAACAAGCTTGTTACAAGCTGTTAAACAACTTGTATAGAATTTTGTTATATCATGATTGTATCAGACTTGTTGGAACAACCTTGCTACAAGTCTGATAATATCAACAAGCTTGTTACAAGCTGTTAAACAACTTGTATACAATATTGTTATATCATGATTGTATCAGACTTGTTGGAACAACCTTGCTACAAGTCTGATAATATCAACAAGCTTGTTACAAGCTGTTAAACAACTTCTATACAATATTTTGTTATATCATGACTGTATCGGACTTGGTGGAACAACCTTGCTACAAGTCTGATAATATCAACAAGCTTGTTACAAGCTGTTAAACAACTTGTATAGAATTTTGTTATATCATGATTGTATCAGACTTGTTGGAACAACCTTGCTACAAGTCTGATAATATCAACAAGCTTGTTACAACCTGTTAAACAACTTGTATACAATATTTTGTTACATCATGACTGTATCGGACTTGTTGGAACAACCTTGCTACAAGTCTGATAATATCAACAAGCTTGTTACAAGCTGTTAAACAACTTGTATACAATATTCTTATATCATGATTGTATCAGACTTGTTGGAACAACCTTGCTACAAGTCTGATAATATCAACAAGCTTGTTACAAGCTGTTAAACAACTTGTATACAATATTGTTATATCATGATTGTATCAGACTTGTTGGAACAACCTTGCTACAAGTCTGATAATATCAACAAGCTTGTTACAAGCTGTTAAACAACTTGTATACAATTTTGGTATATCATGATTG